GTAAAATGAGAACCCAGATTGTTGGGGGCAATATGCTGACTCTCTGTAAACCGCTTAGAGAGGCCTGAAAGGCCTATGAAGCGGTATATAAGTCTGCTGCTATATTCTGAAGAAAAGGGATTTATATAATGCTCCCACCTACAATTTTCCATACAGCTACTACCATGTAAGATAGTTGGGCTGAGGTGGTTGGGCTAAGGCAGGAGTGTCAAACTGGCGACCCACAGGCCAGATGCATCCTGTGCAGGCTACACCCACTCCAGCTCCATGAATGGGAAAAAGGTCATAAAATGTCACCTGACAGCAACTGAGTTTGACACCCGTGGATAAGGTGACTCAAAGTCAGTCAGTTGGCTTTCCCATCCAAGAGAGCACTAGAACTAACAGTCTCCTGGTTTCTAGCCCAGTACCTTAGCTACTACACCAAACAGTCTATTCTACATGCATAATCGATTGGAAAAGCCATCAAAGCAGCAACGTCAAGCCTTCTGGAGCCACTCCACGATTGTGCAGTGGTTAGAGTGCGGTACTACAGGCTACTTCTGTTGACTGCCAGCTGCCTGCGATTTGGCACTTCAAATCTCACCAGGCTCAAGGTTGACTCAGCCTTCCATCCTTCTGAGGTGGGTAAAATGAAAACCCTAAATTGTTGGGGGGCAATATGCTGACTCTGTAAACCACTTAAAGAGGGCTGAAAAGCACTGTAAAGCAGTATATAAAACTAAGTGCTATTGCTATTAACTGTTTAGGAGAAATATTTTGCTCATGTTAACACGCTTTCCAAAGTGCTCCTTTCAAACAATCTGCATCAGACTCATTTGCTTGGATCCTAATTAATATCACCAGCAGAAAAAAAAGTGACTTATTTTTACTCTGCTCTTTCAAGTACCTTTGTTTCACCCATCTGCAAGGCTAGATTTCCCGATGGAACAGTGAGTATAAGTGTAAGAATTTGGAAAAATATTTCCTTTATTTATTTCCATCCCTCATTCAATATAATGATTTCCACAAACAGAAGTCNATCTGTTCATTCTCACTGTCATCCATATACATGCTTTCAAGTTCATCATTTATTCGCTGAACACAATGCTGTAACCAAGCCTTTCTCTCCTGCATAGCAGGAAAGTAAATCTCTGTGTATCTGCGGATTACCTGAAGTCGCTGAGGATCAAGTTCTTGTTTTCCACACTCTCCATAACAGCTGTATCTTTCAGCCAATTTTCTATGATCAAAGAGTTCTGGAAACAATCTGTGTAGCAAAAATACACAAAATTCTCCAGGAGAAGATGCTTCATCTAAAAATTCATTTATATCCTGAGCATCAAATACCCATTCTGAGGCAACAGAAGTATTTCCATCAATAGGTAGAACTTCATCATCATCTTTATCATTAATATGATCAGACTCATAAAAACTGGAGGATTGTATATCCGGTTGACTATTCTCCATATCTCTCTGAGCCCAAAAACTATTGAAAAAGTCATTGACCTGAGGCAAACATTCTGCTTGCCAAACAGCAGGATTTTTCACAGATGGATAACAGACTTCCACATAATTTCGGATGAGCTGCAGATGAAGTGATTCAAGTTTCTTTTTGTTAAGATAACCACATGTGGTACAGGCTTTACTTAATTCATCCTCACTAAAGAGTTCTGGAAAAAGTTGTACAAGTAATCGGCAAGCCAGATCACCACCTGATGTACTTTGATCCATAATCTGTTTGAGTTCTGAGGCAGTCAGTTGATACTCAGGAGGGGGCTTGAATTCTGCAACAGCATCCATTGGGCTGACATGTTTCTTAATTCTACTGACTTCTAGTGACAACAGATCGACTTTGCTATGCAGTTGAGTCATGTTAGAATTTAATGTATTCAGTGTATAAAACATTTTTTGTATTAAAGAATAGATATTTGAATCAGATTCGGCAGTAATATTGCTTGTTTCTCTTTTCCGCTGCTCATTCAAAGTCCTAAGACTGGAGGGACTGCTAGGATTAATCTTTTCAAATAACTCAAAGGTAGTAAACTGTTCTGTTCCTGGCAAAGTCTTCTTCTCTGTAATTTTGTGAGAGATCCCATAAAGAGGTTTCTTATATGAAGGCATAACTGTGTTATTCAAAGTTTCTTCACAAATCCATGTTAGACTGGAATTTTTGTTCTTGTTTGGCTGTTCAACATCTTCCTGAGTAGGCAATCCTCCATCTCTGCATTTCAAGTTTGAGGTCTGTTCCTTTCAATAAACAAACAGGTCATTAGTTTAAAATACTATTGAACAAATTCTTAACTTATCCTTAAGGAACAAGTAATACATTATCTGAATTTTAAAAAAAGCATTGCTTTAATCTAATTTGTCATAAGATCAGTTGTAGACTAGGTTAGTTGAATTTAGTTCTCTAAAAGTCAGTAACGTTCCATTAAATCATAAATTATTATATCTATTGAAGAAGTGCAACTAAATTAATCTTAATTTAACCAGCATTAACCAAACAGAGTATTATTTTAGCAGGCATTTGTTACTGCTTATTAGTTAGATCAGAAGACAATCTTGAATGTAAGTAGATATTTAACAAATAAAACAAAATTAATTATTTGACAGAATAACAGAAGAAGCATATATTAAAATCCCATGTAACATTGCTTCTCTATCTTGTCATCCTAAGATTGCTGTCTAAAACAGATTCCCAAGAAATTTTCCTCCAATAAATATATTTAGGTAACACTTGCATATCTGTCCATAAATGCATGCTTGTTTACGCTCGCTGATCTATTCCAAAAACTAGAAGGGCCAAGGAAAAAAATTAATATTAGTACCATTC